GCTCATGCTTACCCTCCTCCCAGAGATTTTTTTATTAGGTAGAATGGACCTTTCGTTCTTTGAGCATTCCATTTGAAGTTTTGACATGTTCAGCTTCTAAATGCTTGGAAGCTATGGACCACGGAAAACAAGGATAACCCCATATTGACCATGAGTAAACAATATCCAAGAGATAGCATATTTATTAACCAACTGAGATTTATAAAAACACTGAGATTCAGGAACTCTTCATCACAGCAATTGATTAGGTGAAAAAAGGAGGGGTGAAATATAGTTAATTTTAGAGCTTTATGTCTACCTTGTTGCACTGATAAATGATTGAGACTGATGGACATGCATATTAGGCCTTATCAGATACAACATGACTTTAGGTTGCAACTGGGCATGGAATAGTACTAGCAAATCTCCACATTTTAAAAATATAAATTCCAGTTATAATTTTTTTTAATCCTACCAAATGCCAGGAACACTGACAAGAACTTGGCAATAGTTCCCAAACACTCAACTTTGCATAGTTAAACTAGAATTTCATTGTCAGATTTTGTTGAAGCCTCTCAGACAGCTACTATGAAACCATTGAAATAATCAATTTTCCTCTGTCAACATAAAAGTACAATCCCTAATCCTACCATAATTTAATTCTAGTACTTCTTTTTCCTGTTTCTCTTAGTTTAATGGACATTTTGCCTTGCACTTTCCAGCCTTAAGGCTGGTAAATGTTGCTTGTTGATATAACATCTCTACCCTAAGAAATTGTTGTTCACAACCCCTACAAGGAAATTCATAGGGCCTTTACCTATTGGAAAAAAGAAGAACAACCAGTTAGACAGTATTTATAAAGAAACTGAATAGGAAGCTCTTATGAAATATTCTTCAACTCAACTTCTATTGATTTCATCAATATAAGCCCTGGTGACACAGTGGTTAGAATGCAGTATTATAATCTAACTCTGCTCACAGCCTGGAGTTCAGTCCTGATGGGGCTTGAGATTGACTCAGCCTTCCATCCTTCTGAGGTCATTAAAATGAGGATCCAGATTGTTGGGGGCAATATGCTGACAGTGTAAACCACTCAGAGAATGCTGGAAAACACTCTCTGAGTATATATAAGTCTAAGTGCTATTCCTATATATTCATGTAATTCTTTTGGTAATAAAATTAAATCAAAGGTGCATTTGGTTAACTGCTAATTCAGCAACCAAACGTCTGAAAGAGTTCTAAGCCCTTGCATTTGAAACTCGTTCTAATGGAAAATGTTGGCAATTAGATTTGAATAACCAGTTTTCTGACCCTCTTCTTGAGTTGATTTTTGTTCTGGATCATGTAGATCTGTATGTTAGAATGTTTGGCATTTATTGGGTTAAATGCTGTCTCCTTAAGAGATGGCTTATGGGTAATGTAGTTTAGCTAGTCAACAATCTCATGTTAACAGATTTGTAGGAGGATTCACTGAGCTCTTTACAGGATATCCTGGCCATGTGCCAGTATGGAGTGTCTTTGTCTGAGAATAAGCACGGGGCCACTGCAGGACTCAGATAGCCCTATTCCTCATAAGAAGTTGATGTGGAGGAATTAATGATTTTACCTAATAAAGATGAACAGATGTGTAATTATCCAGAAGCAACAACCACAATTGAAAGTATTTTCTTCTGAATTAAATATCTGTTTTGGAATTATCTTTGTTTGAGTTATCTGTCTAGCCTTGGATTAAAAAGCATCTTAATTCTGAATCAGAACAATTTTGAACACATTAAGAGAACTGCAGCTCCCTATAGCTATGGGCCTCTTATACTATGGACCTATTATGAAAAATTTAAAATTGAGAGAAACTCAAGCAGACGATTATCATTCGTGATTATGATACATAGAATAATCTAATTTTAATAATTAACTTTCACATTAATTTATAGTATGGATAAATTACGGGTTATCAGGATTCTTCTTTCTTATTGAATTACATTTCTCCCCCTTTGTAATAAATATGTCCCATACCTAAAGTAGTTGAAGAATCTGGAAAACTAATAAAATAACATAGACCATACAACTATGCTGCTTAGTTTAATGAAACATAGATGGTGTATTTAGATATGCACAGATGGCTTTTTGGTGATGTATTTTGTCAAACATGTTTTGTTTTTATTGAAAAGATGACTTTGAATTAATTCATGATTAATAAAATAATTCCCTGAGCAATATTATAATGCTGGAGAAGACTTTTGTTGCCTTTTTCTTCAGTGTACTCTTTTTCACTCACAGCATTTTTGCATTCAGCAACCATAAGACAGCTTAGAAACAACAAAGAGATATGAAGCTGCTTACATCACTTTTTTCCCAATCGCCACCCTCAAAGACAACTATCATATGCACATAAGTTGTCTCTAACCTTTTATTTATTTATTTCACTGTACTCTGGAGAATTCATATGAATGGGTACAAGCCAACTGTTCCGCCTACCTCTGCAACCTGTGCAGAACATATTTGGAATCACACTGGCATATGAGCAAAAATATTTTGCACTTAGCTAATGATTCAGTCATCATGTAATAATTGTTTTAAAAATAAAACTTCTGAATTTGCACACAGCAGGGGTTTGGAATTTTAAGGAGCCCTATAAAAAAGTGCAAGCTGAAAAATTTAGAATTTTGTGTTTCTAATGAAATAAATAGAGGAGGAAAGGGGATTTGGGAAGGCTATTAGTAGTGGAAAGATAAAGCAACCCCCCCATTTTTCAGTGAGTAATTTGTCATGGATTTTTAATATTTATAGCAATATATTGTAGAAATGAAGGATGAGAATTCTAACAAAAATTATAATGAAATAAACTTTTAAGAATTAGAGGTAATATTCGGAATAGTATATAACTCTGCTTTGACCAGGACTCTGTAGAGTATGGTCAAAAAGTCATGATGGCAACCAGGACAGTGCAATCAAGACTCTACCTATCATTCATCAAAGGCTAGAGCTTTAATTGTATCACTTTGGCTGCCATCTTGATTTTTTACTAATCCTGCAGACATCCCCGGTTTGACAAAGACTTAAATAACGCCTCCCTTTGAAACTCCTTCAGGGAGAAATTTGCCTCCTTCACTTCCAGGAATAAAATGAACTAGCCATGGCACTTTACATCTCCTGCTCCAACTGCTTCCATTGACAATTCCTGTAACTACCAGAGTCTTTTCTGCATATAACATACAGAAAGCCATTCTGATGTTTCTACTGTTACTGGATTATATAAAACACCTCATCAGGACAAACATCATCATCTATTGATCTTAGTGAGGAGAATTACATCCTCACTCTGAAGCACAAAGGACCTTATCAAGTCAAATCCAAGGCAACTCACAGAGAGTGAGGCATATATATGAATGATTTATATCCCATCTGTTGTACAGGAGCTCAAGATGGAATGTTCTTTCATCCTATACTTTCCCATAACAAAAAACCCTGGGAGATAGGTTGGGCTGAAAGAAAATGACTGGCCCAAGTCACTGAATGAGCTTCCATGACTAAAGGTGAATTGGAGCCTGAGTCCTCCCACTCCTAGTCTCCTAACCAGGAAATTATCTTACAAATGGACTTCATGAATTTGTTCCCACCAATAACCAATAGCCTTTGGGAATTACATGTACTTGCAAATTACTGGCACAACCATGGGCATATCTATGGCTCCTCAATCTGCCAGCCTCTTCCTGGCTGACTCTTAATTCTTGCTGCATGAATTCCCTCCTTAATTTCAGATTCAGTGATGACATTTACATCATCTGTACCCATGGAAATGAACTGCTCATTCAAGTCCTTCAACAACTTCCAACACACCATCAAAACCTCACCTTAACCTGTCTATGGAACAATTCTACTTTCTTGCTGTCACTCTAAAGTTACACAACCAACACATCAGCATCATGTTATACATGAAACCTACAGATTGCCTTGCTTCCAGAATCCACCTAAAACATGTCACTAAATCTATCATCAATAGTCAGTATCTGTCCTACAAATTAATTTGTTTTGAAAATTTGACAGCAATACTCAACTGATAGACTTAACAAATAAAAGCAAATATACATGTCCCAGGATAATGTTGCAGGATCCAATCTGGGTCAGTCACCAGGACCAGAATTTTAGTCTTCCAAGCTTTTGGACTCACGCTGGGGCCCATCTTCAAGGAATTTCTCTCTCACCAGAATTCTAGTGAGAATTCTCTCACATTCTTGTGAGAGAGAAGTTCCCTGAGGATGGACTTCAGCACAAGTCCCTGTGACTGACCCAGATTGGATCCTGATAGAATTAAATCTGGCATTCAGGAGAATAAAGTACCAACCCATTGGGATCAACAGAGAAATTTAGAGAACCAATTCCCAGGAAGGACCAAAGAAAGAGAACAATAGCACACCAGTAAGATATATACCTCAAACTACTCAAATAAACTATACACTAATAAGATGTAGCCTACTGGACAATAACATTGCACTTTCTCAGGCACTGTATGGCAGGCCTAAACATGCATACAAATAATCATTCAATCTGAAACAGATTCTCACAAGTAATGAGAAGCAACGGAATAATGATCCTCGCATAGAAACTAGTCTCTGCAACAAATCAAATGTCTATTTTTTTCCCCACATCTAAACCAACAGTACCATAACAGGCCCCAACATTGGCCAGGTAACACTTTTCCAATGTTGTAATATCACCTTTACAGGATATTGTATGAAGATGCCTACAGAATTGTTGCCTTCATGGTGGCACAGTGACCCCTGCCATATGCTCACAGCTGGTAATGGCATGAAGAATTATTTCTAATATTCATCAGAATCCCAAGTACCAGGGGTCTAGGCGTGAAGACTCAGCAGGAGTTCACAGCTATGCTGCCGCCAACCTAATTCACATTCTTTTCTAAACTTTCCCTCCTTACTCTAGACCCGGAAGATAAATCCTCTAACCCATGATTGGCATTATAAGTAATGTAATCAAGGAGCTGGGGGGGGGGGTGAGGGGAAGCAAATAAAAACATAAACACCTTGGAAAGGCAAACAGCAATTATGATAATCACCCCCAAGTTAAATCCATATAATTGAGATGTCTCAGGTTTATAAATACTTATTTACACAAAGCCACCAAAGGAGAAGGAGCAGTGAAATGTTCACATGTAATATTTTATCTGGATGATAAGTTTTAATTATCTTCCGTGGTTACACAATTTTTCAGATATAAACACTTGGGCCAAGTCTTCATCACCATGGGCAGCAGAACATCCTGTGAAGGAAGCAAACAGGGAAAGTGCTATTGTAACATTGCACATTTACAGTACCAGCTGAGACAACCTAGTTCTTAAATTAGATTTGATTGCAGAAATGTATCTTTTAGGATAGCAAGGATCTAGTTGTGGTGTGGTGCAATCGAATTCTTTCATTTTGTACCATTCCACCCCATTATATCGAGTTCTCAACTATTTCCCATTTACTGTTTCTCACTATGTTTTCATTTTATAGGACTAGATATTATCCCTGAATATATGTTGCTACACAGTGTTTATCTCCAAATTGGAGGGATGCAAGCAACATATGGTGGCATACAAGCTATTATAGATACTTCTGCTTTTTAGAATCAACCATCAACAGTAAAGGAAAAAGCAATTAAGAAATATGTCATAGATTAGCACTGGGTATAGCAGTCATGAAGACTGTGGAAAATATATTCAAATGGCATAATGTGCTTAGACTTACAGAAATCAAAATAGTGAAGCAATTGTATTCCTTGTAATAGCCATAAAAGCAAAAGATGTACTTTGAAGAAGCAGGCTAAGAAGAATATTGATGCTTTTGAAATTTGGGTGTTAGAAATTTGATGTTGCAAAGAAAGCAAATCAATGGATGATCAAACAAATCAATCCAGAGTTGTCACTTGAGGCACAAATAACCAGGCTCAAATGATCATACTCTAATGCTGAGAAAGGTGGAAAGAAAGAGAAGGGAGGAGATCCAACAGGAAGGTGAATGGATTCAGATACTGTGCCACTGGGTATACCAACAGGAAAACTGAATAACCAGGTTAGGATCAGCTTTATCTACATTATAATGGTTCACTGCCATTTTATGGCTCATAATCAAAATCAATCACTTTGCATAAATAGTAGAAGGATCTTGGTATGAAAATGGATTTTGTTTGTGCTTATGGCATACAAGCCATAGACTACTGAAATAAAATGGTACCATCCATACTGTGAGTAGAGAGCACTCTGTGTGGCCAAATGTGATTAAGGTTAGTAATCCAATCCATGTTGGATACATCATCCTTATGCATCAAATTGCTATGGAGATTCTCAGTCATCCAGGTGCTTTTTATTCAGGAGGCAATTGGACTTTCTTGTTTTTTTCTTTGAAGGCATTTCACTCCTCATCCAAGAAGCTTCTTCAGCTCTGACTAGATGGTGGGGAGTGAAAGGATTTGTATTGCTTGCAGGCAGCTGGTCATTTGCATTCTTTTAGAGAGTCATTGGAACCATTTGGAGGTTTACCTGTGTCCTCAGGGTTACCTGAGTAGTGCAAATGTGTGTTGAGAATGCAAATGACCATACCTGGATGACTGAGAATCTCCACAGACATTTAGCTATGTACTTTGGGATGAATGGGGCAGGAGTATGAACGAATTTCTAGAAAACATTGCAGACTACAGGAAACATTTGTACTTTAGTCTGAGTTTCAGACAACACAGATTCATCCCCAACAGCCTGCACCTGTCTTCAACAATGAAGAAAGGAAGAAGAAAAAAACATCTTGCAGCCAAGAAGTCTCAACAAATATCTGCATTACTCAGGTGACCTGAGGATACAAGTAAACCTCCAAATGGCCCCAACAACTCTCTAAAAGCATGCAAATGACCAGCTGTCTGCAAGCAATACAAATTCTTCCACTACCTACCATCTAGACAGAGCTGAAGAAGCTTCTTGGATGAGAAGCAAAATATCTTCAAAGAAAAAAACAAGAAAGTCCAGTTGCCTCTTGAAAAAAGCACCTTTGAGATATCCATCAAATTGTTTCTTCATGGTACAGAACAAAGGAAGGATAATCTCTGTTCTGCTGCCATTATGTATGTAAAAGAGCTAAGGTTAGAATAAAGAAAAGTAATTTTCTTTGGGATTGTTCATAGCACTGTATCCAGTGGCTCTAAAAAGTTCTCTATCCTTTTGATGCAGATACAGTATATATAAAATGCACCTTCTTGCCTGTTGTACATCTCTTTCTACCTCTCTCTCTCTGCTTTTTGGCAGTTAATTGATATTGATATTTGCTTATGTTTAATAAATAAATACCAAGTTCTATCTTAATAAGTAGCATTGTGTGAAAGTCGTGGAACCATCACTGACAACTTATATGGGATTGCAACATGGAATGTAAAAGTAATAAATAGTAAATGTGAATTAACAAATGAAATGAAGTGAAAAAAAATGAAATGAAACAATGAAGTGAAATATAGATTCTTTTTTCTCTTATAATCTAAACAAAAAAAAGGAAAGATGTAACATATTTGAATCAGCATGGCCTGGGCATAATGAATACATGCAGAGCAACTTATCTATGGAGATACCACATCATGGCTGTGTGGTGTTGATTTATAAATGGTGCCGGCACCTCCCATTTATCATACATTCTTTAGAAATGCTGGGTTGACAAAATACTTGCATTTTATTATGCAATAAACTGATTGAAATGTGACCTTTCTGAACATCAAGCTCTTAAAAAGCTTTCTAAGTGTCATTAATTAACAAAGAGTAAGAAGGAGCTATTACCTTTGTCACTGCTTATGAGTTTCCCAGCACCACTACAATTAGATTAGGCACAGACAGGTAAGGTTTTGAGGCAGATTTCCATGGCTCCATTCAACAGCAGGAACATGAAGAGGCTCAGGTTCTGCAGCACTCATCCATTTCCATCTAGAGAGGCGAGAGGTGAGGGAGCATAAAACAATTACATCCTGATGATAATGTCCAAGTGCATCATTATAAGTGGCAGCAAATGCTATACTTAAGTGGATCCTAGCTCTGATTCAGCACAGCATCCTCTGTGTTTTCCATCCTAGCAAAAAATGAGATGCAGCTAGAATTAAAGTCAATTTCTTTTAAGTTAACCATTCATCATACATAAACAGAAGATAAATGATCTCTATCAAAATGTTTGTTCTTTGGCAATTTATTTGTGCTCCACATATACATAAGACCTGTTGCCAAGACATCACATATTCTCAGTTTTGATTCCAAGGCTTGCTCTTTTGCTTCCTTCACAGGAGGAGATTCCTGTGATCTCATTGGATCCAATAATATTTTTCTGCTTTAGATTTCTTTTCCATCAGGATCTGATCCAGCAAGGCCATCTTTCTCCTATTTTTGCAACTCATCATTCAGGTAGCATCAAACAATATGTTCTCAGGTAGAAGATGTGGTCATTTCAGCTTCAACGGGAACTGTTGCCCCTGTGCAGTCCCCAACAGGAAGCTGTAGATTCATCCATCAGGACATTATTTGTTCACACATTATGTTGAATCATAAATCATAGTTTATAATCTGTAATTGGTTCACATTAAGCTGAAACCAAACAAATCACATAACACTTTAGCACTGTGAGAAGAATCCAGATTAAAAGTAAACTCACCATAAGGCGAGACATCATAACTAAATAGTAGCTCCCAGAATTGAATAAGCTGACTGGGAATTCTGAAGGCTGCAATCAATACCTGTTTGGAGAAGGGCAGGCTTAAGAAGGCTGCTATATGCTAAAATTCTGCATTCTGTTCTCATTTCCAAATTGGCATTAGAAGCCGCTGAGCACTTTGGGCATTCTAATAGGATGTAGTGCAAGATTGAAGGCAAGTGGTTGAGTCTGTGCCAAGGTTATGGAAACAAGAAAGTGTTTTGAGCTTGAGGTTATTCTTTTTAATTATTCAGAATATTTAAATATGACCCACTTTTTTAATATCTTTGGCTAGCTTCCCAAAATACAATAAATGCTATAAAGACATATTTAAAAACAATAAACACTGGAGTTAACTATTATTTCCAATGTTTTTTTCAAAAAAAAAAAAATTAAAAATGGTTTAGCCAATTTTTTGATGGATTGTTCAGTCTGAATGGAATAATGTCCTGTTTCACACCCTCTATTAAGCAAGTTCAAGTAAGGTTGGCAAGAGGTGGGAAGTTTCTACAGCCTGCATATCTTATAAGAACAAGCCCTAGAAAAAGCAACTACTATGTGATTCTTTGCTGAAGTTGTACTTTCCATGTGTAATGTACGTATGCAAACATTTTTTAAAATGCTACTGCTGTATTCTTGCATAAATAATAACAGAGCCCATTAGGGTTGAGCAGCTTATAAATTCAAATAAAGAAGCGGCATTATAACATTCAAAAAAAAAAAAAAAAGCATCCCCCTTTGTCCCAATCTGCAAAGCTTACATTTAAAGGTACCCAGAAGTCCAACATCAGCATAGCAGAAGATCATGCAAAAGGTCAGCAAAACAACCCAAGCCATCAAAATATAATTCTAACCAGTTTGTATTTCCAACTCATATTACTAATATTAGCAACATATGAAGCAAGTTAATGCACAGTCATACAGACATGCACATGTATGTACACACACACACCAACACCTTTGCACTTACTGCCTTATTTTGCCTTATTCACTTTGTCTTCCTGCTATACTGGACCTTTTCTTTAAAGAAAATCTGTACTACAAGCCATAAAACAAAACATCTGGAATTCTCAAATTGATGTTCAGAGTTTTGAAACAATATTCTTACAAACATAGGATTGCTTGCCGAAATGCCTGTTTGAGGCTCAAAAAGTTTCAAGCTTTCACACTATTACTGGGTACAGTATTACTGATCCTTGTTCAATTATTTTGTTTATTTGTTTTTGCTGGCAATGGATTGAAACTCACTTGATCTGAATAAGCTTCAGGCTTCAGTAGGGCATGCTAATATTTTCTCCCAGTCTTGTCTTCCAAGCCACCTGAGTTTTCTGCTAAAGGAATTTATTTCAGTATATAAATTGCACCATCTGAAACTCTTTAACAGGATTTCAAAAATACCAGACCCATTCTCTTTCTTGTATAGAAGGATATCATGCCATATGTGTGAGAATAAACAATATCAAAATATAATAGCTTTTCAGGGGTGCAACTTCTCCCACCATTGATTACATTCCTATAGAAAAAAGATGTTCAAAACCTGTAAATACTTTGGGTTTCTTCCACTGTTAGAAGAAAATATTTTATACATAATATTGCTGCCAATAAAAATACTAGACTGTCTCAAATCTCAGATGATCTCTAAGGGAACTCAAAGAAATTGATCTTTTGTCCCCCACCCACACCACCATCTTCATTAGATCTACAAATGCTGAATCAAAATTCACTTGGTGTTAACTTGGATTTGAAGTTCTTTTTGGATTACTAAAAAATCTAAGTCTATTAAGCAAACAAATTATCAGACTTAAGCATGAGGGGAAATTGTCATTATTTTTAGAACTATCTCCCTTTAAAGGTTTTAGTTGTATGAACTTTCTCTGTGATAGAAAATTGTGCTGTTACTTGTAACTCATTTATGGAATATGTCATAATTACCACATTTTTGGATGATTGATTGTCAAATTGAGACCTAAATATTTTTAATCAATGAGGTCCTTTTCTATTCTCTAGAAAAACCATCCTCCAACTTGCTTCCTTCCAAACACACTTCTTTATTACAAATTATTTATACTATTCTCCCCATCTTCTGCCCCAGCCTTGAGGATCCAAATCCATCTCAGGCAGCATACAAATTTTAAATATTCAAATAAACAATATTTTAAAGGATCATTTATTCATTTTGTTATATATTAAATTTACTTATTTATATACTTTATATCATGCTGCATGCTCATAATTCTTGGCAGTTTACAATATATGCAAAGAAAATTCACAGATAATTGAAAATAAATATACTAAATTATGGTACAAATAAAATACGAACACCAGGAGAGTATAAATATAAAAATATACTTTACTAAAAGCTGCCAAGCTTTCGTTTGGAAACTCCAAACATCATCAGGGCTAAGGAGCCAGTAAACAATGATGACTTAAATGGGTTTTGCCGGCATCTGCACCCGGCTCATGGACCGCGTCACCGGTCCCGGCCGGTTAATTAGTGTTCCAGATGTTTCTTTATTACTCTCCTTACCCTTCCTTCTATGGTTCTTCCAGATCATTCCTTCCACTATCTCATTACTGGTATTCATCTCCTCCACCACCCCTTTATCCTTATTTCCTTCCATAGCACTGACCCTCCTCCCCTTTTTGTTTTCATTCTCCACCCTGGGGGCATCTGTTTCTCCTCTATCAGTGTTACAAGCTTCCCTGGGCTCACCGACGCTCCCCCACACACACGCTTTTCCCAATCCCTGCTCCACACCCTTTCTTCTCACTCTTCCACTGTCATGAGTAACTTTCATATGGGTGTTACATATTTGGGGGTCTGTGCCTTCCTCCTCTGTCCTAGCAATCTTCGTGTCGACAGTTCTCCACCGTTCCATTTGTTTGCTGCGTGATCGGGTGCTTACCCCGTCTCTCAATTCATCCCTCCTCCCTATCGCACGCTCTTCCCCATTGCTGATAGGAACGGTATTCAGGCGGACACCAGGTCTCCAGATCTCTGCATTCTGATTCCCTGCGTTCTCACTCCCCTCTTCTGTGCTCGTCTTTGGGGGGACTTCAAAGTGTTCGTCCCGGGAGGGGGCTGTATTGCTGGTGCGGGTGTTCCTTGTCTGCAGGGAATCCAGGCAGAATTCCGTGTCTCTCCCTTTCACCGTATGCCTAGGCAATCGAGCCATGCTTTCGTTCTTCTTCTCCCCTCTACCCACAGCGTCAGGCTGCAGGCTCCTCATGCTGGATCTTCCACACTCTCCACAGTGGTTGTTAAGTTCTGGGGGTGGGGGTCTATCATGATGATATTGGGGGAGGGGGAGGTCTTCCATCGGTGGATGATTACGTGTGTTTGACAGTGGTAGCCTCCTCAGACGTTCATTAGAGCGGTATTGGTGTTGATCGGGCAAAACGGGGGTGTCCCTGGAGTGTAGAGGGCTGGCCAAAGTTCCATCTATCTGTTCAGGATGGAGGCCAGGTATCCCGTCACGTTTACAGCTGTACAAGCATTGTTCAGGCCGCTTATAATAATTGGCATGGTGTTTAAAATCCCATTTCCTCAATGCTTGTTGAGCTGGATGTAAGTCAATGTGACGATTAACCGCATCTTTGTTGGAATACCACGCCTCTTTCAATAGCCGGCCTCCCTTAGTGGCATCCTCAGACATAATGCAAACATTCACAAAGTCAAACTGGTGGCCATGTTGTGCCATATGCATCCACAATTGAGAATGCTGCTCGCCCCTTCTTATAGCTAACTGATGTTCATGCAAGCGAGATCTTAAACGCTTAGCTGTTTCACCCACATAGTTGCCATCGCAGTTCTTGCAATTGATTTTATAGATTACTGCTGATCTATCCATGGCAGGGAGTGGGTCCTTGGGGCGAACGACTTTGGACCGTAATGTCTGATTGGGTCTATGGGCCACTTCTATTCCATGGGGGGCCAGCAGTCTGGCTGTTGCCTCCGAGACGTTATTAATATATGGCAAAGAAACACGCATTCTTTGTAATGATGGTTCCTCTCTCTTTTGGTTGTTCCGGGACTGGGGTGTAAGACCGTACTGTCTGATAAACCTCAAAGGATACCCATTAAGTTGGCAAATCCGGAAAAGGTATTGCCTTTCTTTCTTCTTAAACTCCTCAGTGCTGCAGTGGGAGTCCACGCGCTTAAACAATGCTTTAATGCAGCTAGCTTTATGAGATACGGGGTGGTTGCTCCTATAGTGGAGTATTCTGTCCGTGTGGGTGGGTTTAC